CCTCCGAGATATCCAAAGTTCAGTAGATGATGTTGATGCTGCTGCCCACACACACTGTCCTGTCCATGCACTGCAGTTTACAGTCACACCTTCTTTCCAAATTTGCCATGTTTGTCCTTGTTCTTCTTGAATTTGCCCTGTTGCGTTTCTTTCTTCTTTAGTTTCCCGTGCTGGGAAGCCCCATTACTTGCTAAGGCGTTCCCCCCATCCAACTTCCTCTTCTTGTCACTGTTGAAAGAAAGACATCGTTACAAACATGTTTCCACGACAACCAAGTGCTATTGTCAAAGATCCTGGATGTCACTGCACCTCTTGATGCTGACAATCGCTGTGTTCCCTGCTTTCTTCAACACCTGGTCCCATTCCTCATCATGTCCACGGATCTTGTACCTGTAAATACAAAAAGGAAATCATCGTAACATTTTTAATTTTTTTTTTTATTCCAAAATGCTACAAACAAGTAATGACCACGCCCACCCCGACCTCCACCTCATACTCACTCATCCAGGTCCATTTCTTTCACTTTCTCCACATCCTGCTTGTGTTTCTCTTCAAACTCCTTTGCTGCTTCATTCTGTAAGTAACAGATTCATTAATTTAATTTAAATCTAATTTTATAAAATTAGTCTAGACTTGCTCTATTTGAAAAGTATCCTGAGATAACTCGTTATGATTTGGCACTATACAAATAAAATTTAATAAGTTGAAGGAATGCAACTAACAGATTTTTTTATTAATAATTAAAGTGTTGATTGTTGTTCCATTCCAATTGTTAACACCCATTAACGTCCCCAGGGCCCAAGGTGACATCTTCAGATTCTTATTTTGTACTCAACAACTCAAAATCCAAAAATATTTAATGTACAATGATAAAAGAACAGCAAAAAATCCTCTCAAGAGAAGCTGAAGCCAGCAAATGTTTCGCATTTAGATAGATCAATCGTTAACCACATACCAGATCATCATTAAGGCTTCTGACAGTCGGCTCCATGGAAACATCTTTAGTGTCCACCATCTCTGCCTCAATAGCTTTTTCTTGGATGCTGGTGAAGACCTAGGATAGTAAAGGCCAGAATAATCAAAGTATTAATGTTGTTGCAGTAGTATAGTTATAGTTTTTAAAAGGTAGGGTTTGTGGCATCTTCTTCATATCATGTCTTTCAGTGCGTTGTGACTTACTTGAACAAATTTCCGGATCAGACGGTTGAAGAGGCCCATGAGCTGCGAGCTTGGAAGCTCAATTTCCTTTTCTAGCTGTTCCACTGACTTGTGCTGTAACCCTACACCCAGCAGTAACGCCTAGAAAGAACACGGACAGTCAACAATTATACCAATAAAACTGAATTCACAACAAGAAACAGCTGAGATCGTAACCGACGGGGAAACGTACACACTGCGCAGCTGAGAGGGAGACGTTGCCGAGCTGCTTGAGGAAGAAGATGCGTGCCACTGTCGGGATCAGGTCCATGATGAGGTGGTAGTCTACCATGCTCCTTGAATACAACTCCAGACGTTTGAGGTCGTAAGGGCTGAAAAGGGCTGCCAGCTCAGAGCTACTGAGAGCTGTGAAGGTCAAAGACAAGTCAGATCAGGTCTGTGAGACGCAGAGGAAATCTGACTATGTTAGTTAGCAGGAGAGTCTTACTGCTCATCTCCTCCTTGGACTTCTTATTCTGCAGGATGCTGAGTGCCAGGCTCGGGTGGAAGCTGCCAAACTGGTAGGAGAGGAGAGACAGGAAGCGCCGGCGGAAATCTGAGAAAAACAAAAAACTGTTATTAAAAAACAAGATTTAATAAACAAACCAACCAGATCTCCAGAGTTCAGGAAAAGCTGTGGAAGTTCACCTTTCCAGAAGGCAGACAGCCACTGGCTCTGCTCTGGGGCTTCATCTGTATTCAGCTCCTTCAGCATCACACAAGAGTGCTCTCCTGTCAGGTCATTCTAAAAACAACCACACAGACACACCAACAATTACAGCATGTGACAACCGCACGATGTACACAAACTTATAAAAAAAGGTTGAAAAAAAAAAAAAAAAGGTTTATTTTATACTTACAGGGGTTTGTCTTAAGTAGACTGGAGTATAACCTGCTTTCTTCCAGAACCTGTCAGGTTGCAAAAAGAGTTTTTAATATGTGCAAAAATATGACAACCTGCTTCCCCTTCTTCCTTTTCAATTAAACTCACTTGAGCAGCTGTGCAGTAAGGCCATAGGAAACTCCTAGATAGTCCAGTCTCTCTGCTCTCCTCTCACTCAGCTTCAGCAGCAGTGGAGGAAGCTCCTTCCGTGGAGTGATCACCTCCTCCAGCAGGCTGACAGCCTGGACAACAAGAGACAGTGCATGTGTTTAATCTGCCTAATCTAATCTCTAAATTGCATTTTTACTCTAGTTACACAGGAATTTGTGTCTTTCAAATACAGCTTAGTACATTTTATGTCTTTAATTGTATTACCTCACTGCTGACAGAGGTGATCTCATTGTGATTGGAGTGTGTGCTCTCATCCATGGTGGGAAACTTGCCCTCATAGTACATCTGCAACAGCTGGAGAGCTCTGGAGCCGTAGCCCATCTGATGGACAGGTTGGAAACCAGTTACACACAGTGCATCCAGATTAATTAAAAAACAGACTGAGTCTTTTGCGAGTTCTTACCCCTTGGTAGTCTGGATTGACGGCTATTCGCACCACTCTGCCTCCAGAAAGGCTGCCAAACTCTGGGTCTTGGAACTAGAAAGAACAGAGCAGAGGATTCATGTTGGCACTGTGAAAACGTGAGCTGTAAATGATTTCACCCAAAAGCTTTTTGATCAGTGTGTACCTGTTCTGACACCGTCCAGGGAATGAGGTCACCAGAGGCTTTCTTTCCCCTGGACAGACTGTTTAGGATGGACTGCCGAGATATTTCTCCCTCCAGACACACCTGAGGGGACAAAGGAACACATTTACATAATGAAGAACAAATACAGTAAGTCAAGTCAATAAACCTGGACAGAAAAAAAAGCATACAAGGAGGCTACAAAAGACTGCTGGGCAGAAAATAAAGGAATGGCTGATTTGGTGTAAGTTGGTACTGATTTGCAAAAAGCCTCTTACCACAGCCCTTTGTTTGCGTGCATGGAGCGGCCATTACTCTCATGCTCAATAAAAACACAGAATTTAATATCTCGTCTTACCTGCACCACTGCGAGGACCTCAGGTAGTGAGTTCTGTGTGGGAGGAACAGGAGGCAGGAGGCAGAAGAGGTGATGGGCCGGAGCATCGGACAACATCTGCAGGTCGTTTGGTGAATTCTGGATCCAAAAGAAAACATTGAGTGAGCAAATAAATGCAACTATGATACAACGCTCTGTGTAGGATATTACACTCCTTGAGGAAAAGTGAGATATGTCAATATAAAGTAATAATATCACCTTATAATGTGATGCCACGTAGAGGGCCATCAACCTCTGCAGGAAGGCCTCAGAAGCCTTGTGGTAACAGAACAGTGTGTCTCTGTTCACATAATATCTGGACAGCGGAGGCTGAGGAAAAACACAGAACTACAACTTGTTTTGCTCACCAATTGTCTGCAGGAGTGTGTCACTCTCAAATACATACTTTTTGGGTTAAATCTTATATAAATATCTAAGTTTCCTTTTTAATTAAACTGGTTTTGGATCTCTGGTTTTAAATCGATGTAGCCGTACCGCTATCTTTTTTAAATACCGAGTGATTACCATTAACCAGCAGCTGATAATGAATTAATTATTTAAGTTGGCTTTTGAGCAAAATCTCAAACCATTCCCATTACCATTGCATTTCTTTGTTCTTATTTGATTGATTTGCCAAAACAAGCAATCTGAAGATGTCACCATGGGAACGGTTAATCAATAGAAAGTACGGTTGAGAGTCCAATATTGGGAACATAATCGTTAGGTTGCGAGCCGCCTCCTGCGTAAACGATCTTTACCAGAACAACAGTTCCGAGTTTAACCAGTGCCATTGTTTACACCATCTTAATACTGACCCTCCAGCTCCATCACACATGTAGCCCGGATTAATATTATTATTATGTAAGAGCATAACTTTAAGTCATTTAAAGTACATCAAGGATACAGGTCACAAGTCTGTGGAAGCGGGCAGCCAGAGATGAGCCTGGGAATGTTCAGACAGTCCAGACAGAGAAGATCATTCAGCCACTTTTCCACAGCGTCTCCTGGAGCGTACCGAATGGACTCGTGAAGAGTAACTTCATGGAGAGAGCGAGCTGTGCAGGGAGACCGGTAAACAGCAGTCAGGCAGATGATAGAGACACGCTGAACAAACAGTAAAAAGAGAAAAAGAAGACGATATTTACCTGCTGCTAGCCTCGCTGTGTTGGCGGTTCTGTTCTCTGCTGACATGCTCTGCTGACTGTCCGCACTCTGCTGCCTCAACTGCTGAATCAGTTTGAGGGAAAGAGAGCGCCCAGTGCCTTCATACCTGCAGAGACGAAGGAAAACAAGGGTCAGAAATGCAAATCACTAGAGCTGAAATGACAAAGTGATTGATCGATTGACAGAATAATACCTTTTCAATAACTCATTAATCACCTAAGTCATTGTTGACTTTCTTAGACTTTTTACTAAACTAAATATCTGTACAAACAATATACAAAATAAGCAATTTCAATATGTAAACTTGGGTTTTTACTAAATCTCTGACCATTTTTACAGACTGATAATGAAAAGAATTGTTTAAAGAATATTCATTATTGCCTCTACTTAACTGGACGAATCTGTATTATTAAAAATACTTTCTCAAAATGTCTTTGTGTGATATTATTCAGACAAACATGTGGTATTAAATTACGTAAATATCATCCAGCCCCATTACTGACCCGTTGATGGTGGAGGCCATGAAAACCAGATAAGGCCCGAGCAGTTTCTTAACCAGAGGAAGAGGGATTGCTGCAGCCTCATCAATGACCAGCAGTTCAGCCTGGCCCAGCTTCACTGCATCGCCTGGGTGAATGTACTGTTGGTCACATGAACAGGAAGGTTCAGACATGTTCACTTAGTATTATAACAATAGAAAAATAAGAAAAGAGCGGCCTGGTCTTTACCTGAATTGTCTGCCGATGCTCTTTAAAGATGTTAACCCGCACCACAGCTTTGTTGAACTCTGGATTCAAAGACTGGATGATTTCATAGTCAAGGTGCTCCTACAAATAACAGGGGGATATGAAGGGGTATGAGCTCACAGCGTGAACATACTGTCGCTGACACAGAGAAGAGTCTTGGGCAGCCTACCTGATACTGCAGAGAATCAAAGCCTTTGAAGATGAATTCAAACATGGTGTGGAGGTTGTCCGGGCTCGGTGAGGTTACAAAAATATTGGAGTAGCTGTGAAGAAAGTCAATAATTAGCAATAAGACAATACAAGAGACAAAATAGATACATATGTGTGACATTATAAAAAAATATTCTGTACCCAAAAGCCACAGCTCCAGCGACAGCCAGCCCCAGTGCTGCAGACTTGCCTCGACCACGGGCAGCAGTCAGAGCCACGGTGCTCCTCAGGGTCTTCTCTGAGATTGCCTCAATGAACTTCAGCACTCCTTTAGCCTAGAGGACAATACAAAACCTTTAAAGTTACATTTATTAGGACTCATACAAAATGGGATTGTTGGAGGTGTAACTTCTCAGGAACAGTGTAGCAACTTGAAATCACAAAGATCTATGAAGTTAAACTCGTATAAATGTGTAAAGGGGCTGTTTGGTGAGAGGTCCTGATCCTGACCTGATCCATTGTCCTGCAGGAATCCACCAACACACCCACAGGCTGAGTGTCCTGAAGGGACTCCTTTAGATCCTTCAGCTCCTGCTCTCGTGGAGACAAACCGTCCTCCTGAAGGGGAGGACACAACTGGTCAGAAATGTCTAGCCAACAAGCAAGAAAACTTTATTTATATAGCACTTTTCAAAACAGGAGTCACAAAGTATGTCAGTTAAGCCAGAAAGGAGAAAAGAATAAAAATAAAAGAGACATTATTAAAAACAAGGACACGAATGCCTAACTTTTACTGCATGGTACGACTCGGTTGTGGATAGTACGACGTTGCTGAAGCGATACTAAGAGGTGGAGTTAAAAAACTGCAGACAACCGATTGTTGGAGAGAATATATAATCCCTTGTGTGACACGGGACATCCTGCATCCTCCTGTGTAACCGTTACTACCGTGATATAGTCACCTGAGTCTTTGGAGGAATGGGTTTGATGTTTGCCATGTGGCTGGAGACTGGCAGGATGTTGAGTTGGTCATCAATGACGACGCAGTTTTTGCAGGACGCAAGCGACAGAATGAACCTAGAAACAGTGAAACAGAACAAATAACATCGTTAAACTATCATCCCGTTGACCGAAAACGCTCATAAAAGCCGGAGGAGCACTTACCTCTCATTGAACCTTCCCACCACATCCTGATGAGCCTCAGTCCGGTATCGAGAGTGCACGTCCTGGATGAAAACAAGCCACAATGATCCCCAAATCATCTGACGAGCAAACAGTCTGACGCGTGTGGAGATTGAACAGGTTACACACTTACCATAGTCATAGTGTACAGCTGCTTGAGAGAGTTCATTGTCCTCAGCAGCAGCACCACTATACCACCTCCTTCTACAGTCTCAATAGTTCTGGCTAAGAGATTGGGAGTGATGGCTTCGAAATCCTGCGCGACACACAAAACAAAAGCTCTTAGGAGTCCAATGTATTGTCTACATCAACTTCAGCGTCTGTGCCGTGGTTCCCAACCTTCACTGTAGTGACTTACCTGCAGGACGCACATGCCGAAGGTGTTTCCCAGGATCTTGTGTGTCTCGTTGTAGTAACAGTAGCGGATGTTGGTCGCAGCGACGAAGAGTTCAAACGGGTCGTCCTGGTTCAGATTCAGTGTGCCAGTTTTTATCTTCTTCTGGAGCTGTCTCATGCGCTTCTTCCGGTTGCTGTTTCAGACATTTTACAACAAATCAAAATCTCCCTTTTTGACACAGTGAATGGCAAACAGCTGAACCTCGGAGGGGAGGTCACACTCACCTGCTAAACCCAAGGTCTTTCTTGTAGCACCAGAGGACGGAGGGTCGTGCTCTGACGCTGGCTTTAGACAGCATGTGATGCAGAATGACAACCTGGATCAGAGACAGGTGGGGTTGAATCGGTGTGAGGCCAGAATGCAAAGAGACAGACAGTCACACGGAGAAGATGAATCCTAAAACAAGCCCACTGCTGATGAGACTTACCTGATCTCTTCCACGATCTCCCACCACCACAAACATGGTCCGATGCCGCAGAGCGACTCCATTCTCTATCTGGACACGAATCCGGTTGTCTACCTTCTTGCGGACTGTTGCCATGGTCCTTTGTTTACTGAGAGAAAACACACACAAACAACTAACTTTAACACAGAGAAACAAATATAATGTGATACAGCGCGACATAAACGGCGCAGTTACACCCACAGACGTACTGTCAGCTGAGTTAGAGGAAGCAGTGGAGCTGACCTGCAGCCAAAACAAATAAGTGAATAACAGCAGCAGGGGACATCAAACCCGCCACAACACAAACACACATTTTAAACAGCACACTGTCTCCTGTTACCTTCTGTTGCACACTCGTTGTTGTTGCTGAGGTTTTTAAAATCTTCACTCACTCCAACAGGTCGAGGGATGAACTCACACAGCCATCACGCTGTTGATACTCTCACGTGGAGACATGCGTTCATGGAGGACCCCGGCGTGACGTCAAAACTGTGCGACCCTCCCAGAGCAACAACAAGCCCCGATGTTTGTCTGACAGGCACCGAGGAGTGAGTCCTGTACAGCTCAGAGGAGGAGAAGACTAACTACAGCTGTTTCATTCACTCGTTTATGTCAGATTTTAAGTTAGAAATTTTTATAACATGTTTCTTTTTATGCATTTTCTTCCTTTTTACGGAGAAGTAACTCCATAAACTAACTATTAACTTACTTCAGCTTTAACTGTGCAGGTTAGGGACTGATACACCAACAAAGGGCGTCAAGCAACCCGGTTCATGTCGGTCACATTTACCGAGGCAGCGGCGGGAAGTGTCCGTGCTCTGCCTGTCAGCGTGCATTCAGGGGAAACCACGTGTGTGCAGCAAAATATGTCCCAACCACAGCATGGACTATTCATTTGAGTTCAGTGTCGCCTTTTTTCTAAGGCAGTCTGTCAGTAATGTAGGACTAGAAATACCACGTAGAGTCACACTTACAGCCTTACATTTAAAAAGCGTCTTAAACAAAATTAATTAATTCAGTGTCAGTCAGCGGCTGTACCGTGATCAACCACAGGATGGTGCTGTATCACAGGTCACCAAGATGGTAAATAAAAGCATAAAGAAAGCCACAACCCTGAATACAACAGTTACAATGTAAAATGATCCACTTCAGCATTTATTAATATTTATTACATACTTTGCACCCTTGCCTTATAACTGACACAAGGCGCAACTGTAACAGCAGAAAACTGAGGCTGAAGCGTGGGTATGCAACACAACTTTATTGAAACTCTTGAAGCGACATCAATTTACAAACAAGGAAACGGGAGCTCATTGAACATAAAATCGTTTTTTAGAACCAAAATGACAGAACTGAGAAAGGGAATAAACTCCCAAGGATTGGACCAGCAGTGGCAGGTGCATTTTTTTTATACAAAAAATAACTTATGAAATCTTTCAAGTTTACAGGAATATTGTAACACATTGCATGTTTGTAAATCAGTGATTGGATTTACAGCTTAGCTTCTGTGTTAGACTTGATTTAATGTTTCCAAATATCAAAGCAGGCGTTACTTTGATTTAAAGAGACAGGAAAAATACCAATGGCGAAGAACAAAAAGAGAACATGAGTGAGCTGGGGCAAATGCATTCTTGAATTTTGAATTTTCAGTGTGGTGCAAGTTAGTCACAGTCATTATATGAAAGGCCTTTTCAGGATCGTATTGCCTGAGTGCTGCCTCTCGACACTCCTCTGGGTCCCTGACCAGCTCCGCGCTTGTAGTTCTGTTGATAACCCTCCTTGAGTAACAGAGAAATAAAAGACAGACATTTTAGAAACTACTTCCACAGGCAGCAGAGATGACATAAACAAAGCCAATGTGAATGTCTGAATGTATCCTTCATACCCTCTGATAATTCCCATTTGAGTAATCCCGAGGTGTGTTGAATTGAGTCGGTCCATAACCAGAGTTTGGAGTGTTGGCAAAAGGAGGACGATAACCATCATAGCCACCTGGAAAAAAATAGGGAAGACTAAGATTAAAATGCTTTTCTTGAAATTTACAAGCAAAGTAATAAAAACACTTTAAGTCATGAGGGCAATCTAACGAGGTCAAACTGAGTAACATTTCCACATAACTAATCTGAATTTAATCAGAAAGCGGCAAAATTAGCTTCAAGGCAACAGCAGCACGAGGTTCAATATGCAGAGCGATTAAATGCACTTCTTTTTCCTCTTTTTTTTTTAATGAGCACTTATACTACTAATACGCTTATACTTTTCACTTAATTATCTTCTTTAATGCAAGAAAATACATTTCTTCCAAAAAACCAAAACCCTCCTCTTTCCTCAAAAGGCAGCAATAAAAATCAACACAAGGCAGCACAGTTCTTTAATTAACAATGACATTGATCAGACATTTTATGTCACTAAGAAATAAAGAGAGGTCATGCTCACAATGGTCATTAATTGAGGCTTTGAATTTAATTTTAAAATCAATCACTGATGTGGTCTGCAGGAGAACAGAACACTTTTCGACGATATCAAATAGTTTCCAACTCAGCGCCCTAAAGGTCCCATTATGTCTGAATAAAGCAATAACGACACCCATGTCTGAATGACAAAAAGCCAATTCTTTAATAGGGTGATGAAGCCACCAATGTAACATATTCCATCAAAAAATAATGGATTCAGTTGTGGCTATAGGTTGTGAGCTCACCTCTGAATCCATTGGATGAGCCTCTGTAGCCATTGATCATGCCTCTGGCGTTGCGAGGTCCACCACGAGACATGCCTCTGCTGTTGTAGAAGGACTGAGGCTGCCTGCCGAAGCCTGGACCCTGTTGGGAAGGCTGCGGATGGCCTCCTGACTGGTCTTGGGAATGGAAGGCACCAACTACTAAAAAAAAAAAAATAATAAAAAAAAAACATACATACAGTATTTAGATAAAAGAAGAAACAATCAAGTTATTAAATGGTTTTAAAAAACTCAAAATCTGCCCACCAGACTGCAGTTGTTCTGACTGCATCTCTGTCTGCTCCACAGGATGCTGCGACTGACTGCCGAAGGCTTGGTTGTAGCTGTTCTGGTATTGGCTGGCCTGGTTCAAAGCCTCCGTTTCACTGGCTGGCGGGACTGGGGCATTAAGGTTGAACACCTGAGGGGCAAACAAGGGCCACATTGTGGTGAAGCCAAACCAGAGGAAAGGTCACAAACTCATTAGGAGTAAAGTCCATTACTCACTATTTCCTGGATAAAGCTGCTTCACTACAAACTCATACAACTGCAATATGCTGAGAGGGCACTTTAGAACTCAACAAGCAACTCCTAATGGAAGTTATTAATGCATTTCTATTTTGATTCCACTGGCAGTGACGCACAGTCCTGCAAAGACCTTTTTTTGTCTGCATGACAGGCCAGATATTCTGCTCTTTGAGTTTAAACAAATGGAGGTATTATTTGATATCATGGGCAATGCTTCATCACAAAAGGCCTTACTGTCTGCATTGACTGGAATGGTGCTGCGTTGACATTGATGCCACTGCTGTGAGGAGCTTTGGAAACAGGCTGGAAAACCTGTGTTTGCGAGGCGGGTGGGAGAGCTGTAGAGGGTGGAGGCTGCTCTGACGACAAGGACATGGAGGTCTGTTAAAGAGGACAAACAACAAAACACTTTAATGATGACATTATGACATTTTATGTACAGTGCAGGTAAGTTAATGAGGAGGAGGAAAACTCTTTCAGTGTCATTTATATTTAAGGTTTCACAATTAAAAATTATTTATATTGAAGCTGCTGGTGTTCATTAAATATTATGTATGCTGATAACTGATGTCTTGATATTTTTGCTGGTTATTTGAATACCAGCTGTAATCATTTTACATCTAAACTTATACTTAAATTTGACAACTTGTAGTCAACAATACATTATCTGTATATATGCTTATGATACCTTGCTTTGGTGAATACCCTTTTTAAAAAAAAAAAATCTAACCAAACATTAAGCTGTGGCATGCATGTTATATAAGACCTTTGCACCAATTGAAATGTCTATAGTATAAACGTTTCCTGAATTAGTTCAATACCTAGAAATATTATTTTTTTAATTTTATTTTTAATTTTATTTACCTGGATGGGGTCGATGGATTCTGTCGAGGGTCGAGGATCTGGCGTGTGTGAGGTCTGATACATGGGGGGCGGAGTTGGAGAGACGATAGGAACCTAAAACCAGAGTAAAAATTAAACATGTTCTCTTTTTTAAAATATCTTCAGGGTGGCTACACAATCAGTGTTGTCCATTCACATCTATTACTCACTTGTGTGGGCTCAGGTTGAACAGGAACAGTGTTGGGTTGCGATAGCCGGGACTCTGGGTGAACTAAGAGGATTTGAGCATTGCTAGTTACTGAACCAGAAAAGCCATTTCAAGCATTTAAGTGTAATTTTTACACACCACATGACATCAGAACTGTGTTTCCCTTTCTAAAATGTACCTGGTGGACACACCATCTGTGGTAAGTCCATGTTCTGAGTGGGTTTCATGGGCTGCGCTGAGACAATGGCTGGGTCAATGGGTTGTCCGTCAAACTCCAGCATAGAGTCCTGAGAGCAGACAGGAGATGAGCACTGTGCATAATATCTAAAGTAAACAGTCGTTCCTAGTACAAAGTACTGACCTGCATGAAGTTGTACGTTCCCTGCATCTGTGCCATTAAGTCCTGCACCACCTGCTTCCTGGCCATGGGGTCAGTAGGCGGCACAGGAGACGCTAAGTTCATGGGATGGGTCTCCAAGGCAACAGGGGAAGCCGCAGGCTGCACAGGCTGCTGCTGCAACGCACTGACTGCCTGAGAGTGGACAGACAACAGCTAAATAAGAAATAGGAGGAGGAATAACTGAAAAGTAGTTTGGTGTTTATTAGACGCTACCTATGAATTTATATTCACATCACGGTTGGTAAATTGAAACATCACAGCTGATAAACACGTAATGTGAGCATTCCAGTGTAGAAATCTCTTCAGTGACTTGAATTTAAACATCCTCAGCACAAAAACCTGAAAAATCACACGCTGCGAACTTATCACAGGGGATCATACCATCCGAGGGTGGTGCTCAAACACCTGCCTGAGGGCCCTCATTGGACAAACAGCAGGTACATACAGTGTAGGGCCAATAAAACTTTTTTCAGTTTTTCACAACTTTGAATTATAGTTTGCTAATTAATCTTCAACAATGCGCAACAGAAAAACAATGTTAACACTGATCACAAAATGAGATAAAAAAATGTAATGGTAGAGTTAGTGGCTCCAGCATGAGCACACAGACAGAGTGATAAAAGAGATACAATGTTTAAATGTTGAGCATGCATTGTGTCAAAGTTGCCAACAAATGTTCTGACTACATCTATAGTTTGTGATGCCTGCAGCCAGATGGTCATGGCGTACCCGGTTTTCTGAGTCTGAGTCAGTAACAATCCAATATTGGCCAACTGGATAAAACATCTTACAAATATTTGTC